GATGGATCAGGTTGGAAAAGAGCTAGTAGTGGTCAAATCAAAACATGGCTTCACCAGTCAATGAAATCCACAGCAGTTAGTTTAAGCCAGTCACGTAGGGAGGTGTAGACTGGCTGGGCGGTTGGGTTCCTCGGGACGGTAGGAACTAGTGAAGGCTGGAGATAATTGTTGATATGGCTCAAAATCGTTCTCAATGGCTGGTGGAGATGCATTCACTCTTTGTAACTTGTCATATCTTCGATATTACTGTTCTTTATCCTTCATATTTCTGCTTATTATGGTTCTTTTAAATCCATTTTTTTCTGTCTGCTTTTGTGTGCTGCTGTGATTCTGAGAGGAGTTTTATATTTAAACCCAGACAGTCTTTCCTGACAAGCATTGGCAACTGAAGCAGAATTAGTTTGTAAAAGAATTACAGGCAGTCAAACTACAAATTGATGTCAATTCACTGAGTTATTGATTGTTTGTTTGAATCACGTGACGTGTTGATTAACTGTAACTTCGGGAAATTAATAAACTATGATTGGAGATTCTTGAGGATCTAGTCTAAAGGCGCTCACAGTGGAGACGTATATACTCTTTGACGTCTTCCAGATCCCGAAAATTCCAACTTATCTTCATTTAATTATTCTTCGCGTGGCATTCATTTTTGCCTATTGTATTATCGCTTGATTTCTGTTCCCTTATTCAAGGACTATAATTTACGCATCACATAGTGAGAATAATCTGCAGCTCTGTAAATATTACAATCAAAAATTATTCACCAGCAACTCTCAACGAACCAAATACTGCTAAGCGACTCACTACTTCGCAGTTCTTCAGAACAAACTGAAAGAATTATAAAGTAGATTACCTTGCAGTCAGTTACCTATGGAGACAATCTGACAATATATTCAGTATGCTGTGTAAACCACCTGAAAAATATCTTGATAACTTGCAGTGGATGCTTACTAAAGGTCATTGAATTCCTGTAATCCCATCCAAAACGATCAATGCAAAGAGAACCAACTCGCTATGCTGTTGAGCGTAAGCTGCTCAAACCTATTTTGAATAAAAGTTTTCACAGCAACCATGAACAGCTGTGAATGACCAAAGTGGAAGAAATGGAAGAGGCACTATTGGTAGTAAATACGTGCCAACTATTTAGATTTATCAAAGAAATATCTGAGGATGGATTTGGTGTGTCGATGGTTTAAAGGATAAATCACTAAAAGCGCATGGAAGACGGTTAGGACGTGAAGCAAAATACTTTGAGAAAGAGTTTAACTGATGGAATGTTGGCATTGGTACTACAACACCAAACGAAGTTACAGAAGCTATCCCTATTTCTAAAATGATGCGAAGAAGAGCAGTGAGACAGTTTGACTCCGGAGTTGTTTGAGTACGGTGGCAATGTATTAGTGACTAGAATACTAGTTACTGCGTGATAATGTGAAATAATTCCAGAGAGCTAATGCACACTGCACCTACATCTGTAAGAAAGGGGACAAATTCTCCTGTGACAGCCGTAAGCGGATCAGCCTAACTACTGTATTATCTAAAATTTATATGTACACTACGTGGGGCTCTGTTAAAAAAAAACTCGAGAAAACCACGTAGGCTCTGGACTTTGACTGGAGTGCATTAGTCAGTTTGCTATTTTCCGACTGGTTCAGAATAACAGGTTTCGGGTATTCACAATATCTCTTGACCTGACGAGGGCATTTAACACTTCATCGATGAGTGCTGTGGCGATGATTGCCTCCTCAAACTGGCACTCATTTGAGAGCTTATGGAGTTATGATGTGACATAACAGCTTGACTGTCTGTCTGGATTCAACATAGAACTTGGCACCGAAGTGCAGCAGTTCCAGTTGCCACGTTCCAAATAGCACACAAAGGTAGGGAAGAAGATGGGTGAAGAGAATCAATCGAGTTTTGACAAGTATAAGAGTGAAACAGAATGAGTTATGGTAGAAAGGAATATGAAAGATTACAGAGACTGAATACATCTGCGCCATTGACAACGATTTTGAGCCATGTCACCTATTGTCTACAGCCATTGATTCTTAGAGTCCAGAGGGCCCCAACCCGGAAGTCTTCATCTCCCTACCTGACTCAGTTTAACTGTCAGGAATTTCATGGATTGATGCCATGTTTTTGTTTGGCCACCACTTACTCTTTTCCAACCTGCACCTATATCAGCTAGTAATGCCCGTCGAAGGAGGCGATGGTTAGGCATGCGCAGCAAGTGATCTAGATATCTCAATCTATGTAACTTTATAGCCTCGTCGATTGATTTTCCCTCCTTGCCCAACACTACGCCTGACGTCAACATTACTTACCTTATTATACCACCTAACGTGAGAAAGATCGTAGACAACTATGGTCAAAAACAGTCAACCTTCTCATGTCTTCAACTAGTATTGGCCATGTTTCAGAGCCATAGAGAAGGACGGAGCGAACTGCTGAGCAGTACACACGTCCCCTGGTTGATAGCCAGATGTTACGCCTACGCCAGAGATGGCGTAAGTTAGCGAAAGCAGCTCGAGCTTTTTGGATTCGTGCTGAGATTTCGTCGCCAATCGGTCCGTTGGTGCTGATACAACCTCCAAAATAGGTGAAGTGGTCAACATGTTCTATCACTTCAGTCCCTATCACTAAACTAGGATACTTCCATTAGCATATCTATGATGAAGTTAAACAGAAAAGGGGAAAGTGGACATCCCTGACGGATACCACTGGTTGTTATCAATTCAGATGACAATTCCCCATAAGCCCTTACACGGCTGTGAGTTTGAGTAGAGTGCCTTGATTAGTGCAATGTACTTTCTTGGCACTCCTTTCACAGTCAAACATTGCCATAGTACCTCTCGATCCACGGAGTCGAAGGCCGCCTTCAAGTCAAGAAATATGGCAATTGTTGGACGCCGAAAAGTGTGTCTATGTTCTAGGATCTGTCGGAGAGTGAATATATGATCTATGCACCCTCTACCTGGCCTAAAGCCCGCTTGATTTTCCCTCGTTTGTTCCTCCCGAGTTCGGCTTAGTCTGTTCATGATTGCTGAGCCTAGGATTTTAGAGACTATGTTCGTTAGGCTGATTCCTCTATGATTATCACATGAGGACTTGTCTCCCTTCTTGAGTATCGGTATAATAAGTGACTTACCCCAGCCTGATGGAACCATCTCTTATTCCCAGACGTTATCTAGTACCTTAGTTAATCTACATATTAGTAGTAACAACTTGACGCCTGCTGGGGATCCCCAACTCAAATGTTCTCAGTAAACATTACTGTATAACACTGTGAGACTTTATCAAAATAAAATTTACCCATAATGGAATTACACTCTACCACAGTGCCCAAGTTCTATTCTTATATCAAATGTTCTCAATCGATCCTAATGGAGAAATACTAATGGAGGCGATTGGCTGATGTCAAGATCTCAGGAGTCAAATTATTGTCCGTGGAAACTCACTAGTTTGAAGTAAGGAGTTCGTGGTCATTTTATGTAAAGACTGGCACAGGTATCCTAAACACCCTGAAAGAAAGTGAGGCTTAAATAAAACAAAAATGTGGTAGTTAGGTAGATGTTGAGCTAGGACGAAGCGAGACTGACCAAATTGCATACTTTTGGTGGAGCGAAATGGTATATATCTGCTTGTTTATTAGATATATCACACAGTGAAACAGTATTATTTACTGGATGACGGTTCGAACAAAATTTATTGTTCATATTCATATCAATTATGGTAATTGATATGATTATGAACAATAGATTTTGTTCAAAACGTCATCCAGTTGATAATACTGTGAAATATCTAATAAACAAACTCATATGGAATTACTACCACAGTGCCCAAGTTTTACAGATATACTGATATATATTTGGATTAACCGGACTCCTAGATAAACAGAAAAAGTTATTCGAAGAGGTTGAGCACCACGAAATTCTGAATATGTAGTCTTTATTGGATGACAAACCATACTACCCAACATTCTTCAGATGATAGCTTAGTTTCAAGATCGGTAATGCGAATGGGTGTGCGTCGGTGGCACAGAGGTAGGATGATCGCCAACCACGCAGGTGGTTCGGGGTTCCACACCCAGCCGACGCACTCCTTTACCTCATTAAGCCAGTAGTAAGACTGGTAAAGAGGGAAGGTTGGGCATGAGTCTAGCAACCCCATCCTGTAAAAACAATCACCACTGCTACAGAAACTTCAAGCCTCTAGCTTGGAGCCCTATGTTTCACTGGGAACGTAAAGGAATAAAAAAAAATGTGAATGGGTCCCAATCTCTTACATATCGGTTCTAAAATGATCAAGCTTGGGATTGAAGTTAACATAACATCTTGTAAATTTCATAAGGTGCTAAGCGTTATAAACAATGGAAGGACATATTCAGTATGTAATCTTTAGCGACAGAGGCAACCATGAGTCTGGTGGCACAATACGGATTCCATCGACTAACATTACTTTACGTCGGTGTGAAACACATTACTGGTGCAAACTGACGATTTTCAGAATTTAAGTATAAAGGAGGTTTTAGGGACAAGTAACAAAATTTGAGATGTAAGAAATGAATTGGATGGACAGTTACCCATCATGTTACTCAGCTCTTATAAAATCAGTTGCATAGCCAGTTACTACCTTTGAAATCTATATAACTGCACTCCCAAAAATGAATCCTGAGTTCAATGAGAACAAGCTTAAGATTAAATAAACGTATCCGTAAGAGAATGATCAAAAAACGGAATGGTCTGCTGTTATTCATGATTGCTGGACTTATTTCCATAGAGAACAGAGGTGGACAGACTAAAATTCGACTACAGTTGGTTGTTATCGACCGATGGCTTAAGCCACGTAAGGAGTTACATCTGCCGGTTGGGATTTCTGAAATACCCTATAGGGTATATGTAGCAATTTGAGCTTGTCACAAACCAATAACATACGGAGTCAACTCAAGAGAGGTTCGGAAAAGCAATGAAAGATTGGAAACAAGCCATCGATAGACTTACGATTTCGCACTGCACTCCAAAAACATAAGACCGTTTTCTTCAGCTAAATGTTTAGCTTCCTCATAAGTAACATCACGCTGCTCCTCGAGATCTGCCTTGTTACCAATCAGAAAGATTACTGTGTTCGGAGACGTTAAACGTCTAGCATCAGTCAGCCAAGTTTGAATGCGATTGAAAGTTGGCTTTCGTGTGATATCATATACCAAGAGTGCCCCAGCGGCTCCGCGATAGTAAGATCGAGTAACAGCTCTGAAGCGCTCCTGCCCGGCGGTATCCCATATCTGGATTTTGACTCTCTGGTCATTCACTTCAACTATTTTAGTTGCAAATTCAACACCAATGGTGTGTGGGGAGTCAGGAATAACTAAGAATAACATGAGAAATCGCGAAATACAATTTTCCTACACTTTTTTTCCGTAAACTGGCGCATGAGGCAACTTTTTCCTACTCCCATATCACCAACAATAATATACTTAAAGATATACGAGTAATTGTATCCGACACCAATTGACATTTTTTTAGGGAATTAAATGTAGCGGATAATGTGCAATACACACAAACTGCCTATTGAGAAATAAAAACAAAAATGTGTTGCCAACTCTATCCCTATTTAGTTTTCCGATGGCATTACCTGTTCACCTTTTGGGTAAGAATACTCATGCTTAGGAATGAAATTATAAATAATCATTAGTTGCTTTACGTATATTTTTCAATGCTTATCCATAAATTTGGTGCATATATGGCTGTTTAGTGTGAAATGAATGGATGAAACATAAAGTCGGCTTCAGTTCATTTTACATCGGCCAGAATGAGGTCTGCTGACTGCCTAGTATGATCTATATTAAAATTAACTTGCATAAATTTTTCCTTCCTGTCCAGTGGGTCCAGCATTATGAGAGAGCAAATGAAGGTGTACTAGCTAGCTGATGCTAGGGAAGGAATGTCAGAATTAGAGATCAGGTCGCGTGAATTATCACGGGATTCAGGGAGTCCACGAAATTAATTTTATCTTCTTCACTTCTCTAAGTACAACGATCAACTGAAACTACATATTTATAGCATTGTCGTCACTCATTGCATAAGTTCATAATCGATATTAGAAATAGACATACGATGTCGCTCTATATTTAAGAACAATACATATGCAGTTGATTTGGGAAGAGTTGATGATTTGGCAAAAAGGTAATTCCCCAAAATTATCAGGATTCTTCACTAAACACTGAATGTTGAGCTTCACTGTATAAAACATATTAAGCTGAAGGTTCCCTGTGGAGCATCTACGCCAGTTAACACGCTGTGATGTTATGTTAAACCATTCCTGCACTATCCCTAGCTAGCTAGCGACCATCATTGCACAGTGACTGAAATATATTCTGTATTTTAGACGATCAGTTAGATATTTTCACTTGTCTTTATTCTAAGCAGAACAAGCAATTTTTGGGGTTACGGGGTGGAAACTTGTGCTTATATACGGCATAACTTCAATAAGCGTAAATATAAGATCATCCTCTTACATATTTGTATGGACGCAAATGTCAGACATCTGAGTTTGTTTTGGGTGCTTCGTATTCTAATCTTTCAACCGGTGGATCATAGTTATTTGACGCAGACATGTAGACACCACCTAACCCGAAAGACTTAATCAAGTCGTTTAGAATGGTAAGTAAATAATTTCTGGAAATTATCACCTCTCAGCTTTCACCACTGTGTATTTTTAGCTTTCTTCCACTGTTTAATTCAACTGATCAGAGCGAAGTTATTCAACTGACCACCGTCTCCATTTGCCATGCTATTGCGTCACGTCCGACTGTTGGCCGACAATTCTTAGTTTCGTAACCACACCTCAATGGCCCATGTTTCTGAGAACCAAATGGATTCTTCAAGGTGGATGATCATGTCGCACTCCTGTTTTGGTTTACTGATGGTTTTGTGGTCACTTCTAATGTGCACAGACGAGTGCTAAAATAATTTACACGCGCACTATCGTATCGTATCTAGTGTGCCGGTCAACGCCCATCTTCTGCTAAAGTGTCATAGAAAGGAATCTTAGGAAACTAATTCACTTGAGTGGATAAAATAAGGTAGTCATTTTCCCTAAGCTTGATGGCTTAGTTAAGATGTTTCCACTGACACTGTAAACATCTTAGTCGCTTACTTAGATGTGAAGTGTTTATGTGGAGGAGTTAGAGTAGGTATCAGTCTACCATATTTCAGCTGTGGTAGTTTATGTCACAATGAACATTCTCATCCTCTAAGATGCCGCCAGTCAGAACTTTCAGTGCATTTAAGACTTTTGAGTGGTTAGAAATCAAATGACTTTGAGACAACTTTATTGTCATCGAAACGTTTCTAGAAATCGGAGAAAATTATTCCTGAGAAAAGAACACATAAAATAAACTAACTAATTAAACTGACATTAGTACTTGTTTTGAAGGCGGTAGAGTCACATATTTTCACAGTCCTAAATTCCCAGCATGACGGACAGTTAATCTTATGCTAATTAATTTATGAAATTCAGAATTTGGTTAAAATTGTAAGTCTGCAGTTTGTTTGTCCTTTTTCTAGTACACATGATACTGCATTTTTCCTTTAAATGAACCCATTCACTCATCGTGACACAAAGAAAACACATGGAGAAGAGAATGAAGTGACGAATTTCGGCCACCTTCTTGAATTCTACGGCTGCCCAGACTGCTCTGACGAAACAACAGCATAAATTATTTTATTTTTATTTTTGATTACAGCTTGATTCCACACCGTATTTTTGGTACAGGTATGAAATTTTCAGCATGTGATATCGGTAGCCCGAATTTTGCAGGCCGACTATAGATATCAGGTGTGCGTCGGTAGTGGATCGAACCACGGACCATGTTCATGGTCAGCGAGAGTCCTAACCACTGTGCCACCGACGCAGTGGCCTGGCTCGGGCTTATTTGCTGTTATTTGGGATTAATCAGTGCTTATTCCTCACCTCGTCTTCCTCTTTAAATGTTTGTCTGACTGCATTTCTATCTGTTACAAATTGTTATAACGAGTACGTAGCTCTACTATTAAACAACGATGCTGCATTGGACACTGCAACGCATGTACTAAGTCCGAAGCTGCGCTCTCCATTCAAAAGGCTTACACCCGCAGTACGCGAACAACTCCTCTTCCAGCTTCACCCAGATTACTAAATATGTGGGCTGTTTTAGGCCTTTCATGTGCCATGCAGCAGCCTCTCATCATTTTTTTCATATTGTAGCGTCGCTCTGCGATGACGCCGTTCTTGAAGCGCACACTGGAGGTTTGGCAGTAATAGTATCAATCAAGTGGAATGGAGCGTGTTCAGTCAGTGCCTCGGCCACTAACTGAGGCAATCCCTCTGATTAGTGAAGCTTATCGACAGACCTCAAGAATCAGACGAAGGCCATTAGAACACCTACACATCCTCCCAACAACGGTTACTTGTATTAGCACACGGATTGATCACCCATATAGAACTGAGTTAGTTCGTCGTAACTTGTGAGGATCCTATCCCCTTAAAAGATTCAGAAACACTCCCCAATGTCCGGGACCAACACAACAGACTTCACAGAGATAATTCTTTGTTCCGTGAATGTAGACCACTAGAATACAAAAATTCCCCACGGCACCAACTGATCCTACTTCCAAGAAAAAACTGAAGTCGCCGTCGTCCAATTACTCCTTAGTTCTCACTTACGTGGTAGTCAAAGATAGCGAGATACGCCTCACCACACTGCTATTATTTAGGTCAGTTCGCCAATACAGTACGTCATACAATACACAACACGTCACCTCAAGCAAGTGAAACGTTTTTAAAAGTCTTCCTTCATGTGCATCCAATACCGCTCCTGTCACTATAATATGCGCTGACAATGGAAGACGAATATTCCCAGGAGATACTAGGGCTTAAGCTTCCATAGTGGATGATGACACACATTTCAAATAAACAGATATACTTGCATGATAAATGCCATTTTTTATAGGCATGACCAAACATGTGCGTCGGTGGCACACTGGTTAGGACTCTCGCCGACCATGCACATGGTCCGGGGTTCGATCCCCTGCCGGCGCACACCCGATATCTATGGTTGGCCTGTATATTTGGGCTACCGATATCCATGCTGAAAATTCCATACTTGTACTGAAAATACGGTGTGGAATCAAGCTGTAAATCAAAATAAAAAAATAAATAAAATGATATAATTTCATGCCATAAAATGTCGATAAACTCGTGCTATTTCAATAGCTAAAATAACAAAAGTTGTCAGAACATGGCCAAATGTATGTTAGATTCTAAAGCCGTAGTCAACGTTGACAAGTGATTACTCTTATCTGACAAAGAACCAATATTCACATAAATGCTGCATCTACAAATTAGCAAAAGAGAATGCAAGCTGAAAACGATATGCCTAGAAGTAAACTGGAACAGCAATAAATCCGGTTGATATGTCATCGCAAACATATTCAAATGGTCGACAGTTATCATTCTGAAAAGATATATAACTCCACAGATATTATCCAAAATTTCAATTATTACAGACAAATATCCTAAATTTTTTAACTTCGGGTTAAACTCTACATAAAAATTATTAAAACAATCAGGACGAACAGATTATAGGTACTATCAGTTTATTTCTAATTGACATGAAAAACAATCGTGAGTTCAAAATCCAAAATTACACAACAGAAAATTCGACATAAATAGGGAACGCCTCAAATATAAAAATTGCACAGCAAACTCTTAGGAGATTACAAGTTTCCAGTGTGACAAAACAACCACAACTCGCGAGAAATTTGCTAATAATTTGGCATATGAGGATAGTGTGGTGTTGATCGGTATTTACTCCAACTTTTGAATAAGGAATGAAGTGGAGAATTCCACACTACACCAACCCTAACGAGATAACCACCAATGAGGTCACGAAAAGACCTCTCTGGTACTTACTAGCTTATACCACTTCTGTCTGCCTGTTGGGCGTTTTAACTATTAATCGAAAGCAAAATGTCGATGCAAAACCATTCGCTTTATTTTCGTGACTGAAAGAGGAAACTATTCAAGGTAAAGGGAGTAAAGAGGTAGCATGTACCGATTTAGCGTTGTTGCCGTGTAGCAGTGATAGTGAAGTTGAGAATACAGTATGGTCCTAAAAAGGTTGTAAGCATAAATCAACTGGAACGACCAGATATGCTGTACAGGTGGTATCACCTGGTAAACAACATAACTAGGTTATTTTATAAATTAGTGGTGGATGATCGGAGGTCAATAAATGATGTTTCCATCTCTCAATGTGCACCCCACTTTTAGTGATGTTGAGGATTAGTGGCTATGCATTCTCAGCCACCGAAAATAACATAATATTAGGTCACTTCTTGCATGAATTCACAGTCGGCATCAACACAAAGGATTAGAAACCTAATGTTGGTTGCTCCACAGTGACTGATAGGTAAGTTAGAGGAATATTTTAAATCAATAACACACATTTAATTGTTGTCCATTTATCAGTGAAT